AATGCGACACGCCACGGACTTGTCGGGCTTTCGCGTCCTTAAGTAAGCTTTCCAGGTTGCAGGGACGCTGTGAAAAGCATGCTTGTCGTCGCATCCAAGACTTTGGTGCTTCGAGGGGCGTTTGAGTCAACCTGGCCAGCCAGTAGGATTCATGTCGAGTGAATGCCGTGTATGCGGGGTTGTTTGAAGTTCGGGCTCCCTTTGCTGTTGCCGCTGATCCGTGTCGCGCCGGCTCTCAGGCATGCGCCTTTGTGAAAGGTAAGTCTAGGTGTTTTGGGTGGTTGAGACCGGGGGGATCCCGGCAAATTCATTCATGTATTGTCGTTTAGGCTATGAGTGTGATGGTGATGCTGTGGGTAGCACGCAAGTTTGGGGTATTTCACTGCTTTTGGCTGCCTCCTACTTGGCATATTGTGGCGCAGATCCTACGTGCAATTCCGGCAGAGCACCTGCCCGCCTGAATTAAACTAAACGTCAAACTCATACCGGTTATCGTTTCTCCTGGGCACTTCCAGCAAACGCTGCCTTCAGTAGCCCATGGCGGAAGCGGAAAATGATCGCCGACAGGCATTGATGAGTCCCGGCTATAGCCAGAAGCCGTTACCCAAGCCCTGAAGCTTCTTCCAGGCAGTAACAAGCTAGCCGGTGTGGCTGCCTCTCTCCTCAGAAAGTAAATCTGTGTGGCACCAACGAGCTATTCGAAGCCTCGTAATTCAAGGTCTGTGTTTCGGGAAGTGTTCAGGGTCGATCTTTGTAATTTCGGATGCAGGTCCCGTAGGTTTGAAGTTTTTTTTGCGGTGCTCAGCTGGGTTTCAGGGTTTGCGAAGTTTCCGGGGTTTGTTGGTGTAATGTATAAGGTTCAATTTTTGGGTGCCGGATTTTTCGCATTTTGGGTTTCGCTCCGGCGCTTCGGAGCTCTTCGTTCTTTGTTCCGACCCAAGAACCTCTTGGCCGACCCCCTGGTTGCAATACATTCTCGCATATCATAAAGTAAAAGCCAGAAAGTTGGAACATGATTATCCTAACCTTTCTATGGTAAATTATAGGGTATCCCACCCTGAAACCATATTCCAACTTTCTGGAGTTCCCTTTAAGATGTTCTGGCCATTTCTGGCCGGTGGCAGTACATCAGCGTGTGTCGAACAAACCCGGACGCCTTGGCTCCCACATCTCAGCCCTTAGCCCTATGTGCGGGCCTAACAGACAACCTAAGCCCCAACACAAGCTCCAAACGTAAACCCTCCGTCCGAAACCCCTAAACCTTTCAGCCTCCATCCTAATCGCTCCGCACCCCGAAAGGCTGAGCTGAAAGCCCTACACCCACAGAGCCCTGCATGAGCCGGGCCCGAGGAGCGTGGCGGCGATGTTCCGAGATCCTGCTTCCTTCCGCGCACCTCGCACGGTTTAGGATGGAGGGCTTAGCAAATCTAAGGCAGCTGCATGGGTTTACAGTGTTTTAATTCAAGGTTTACTGTGTAAGGCCTAAGTTCACGGTTTAGGTAGGCTGCAGGGCTTAGTATGCCTTTTGGATGCCGGGAATTTAGTTTCGATGGTTCGGGGTTGATCGGGCTCGGGGCTCTATGAGTTCATCCGCTTCGTATTGGATTTCAGCCCAAGACCTGCAGGGATAGGTTGGCCGGGGATTTCACCAGGTTCCCCAGTAGCTGCTAGTAGCTCCTGCGACTGCATATAGGATCCTTTGAGTCATGCCTCCAAACCCTCCAAAGCACCCTGTAAAGACTCCTGGTAGAATCCTGAAAAGCCTTGAAAGAGCTCCAAACACCGTCTAAGGTCTCCAAGAGCACGCAGCTGCAGCCTCTCTCGGGATTCGATCTCCGACATGGCGCTTTTGACCCCGCGGTGCCTTCCCCTTTGTCCAGAGAAATACATCTGTCCATCTGTCTTTCTATCTGGATGTGTATAACATGTATAAATATGTAGCATGCACACAGGCACACACACATGCAAAGACACATATGTATCACATACGCACATACACATCTACATAGATGTATGCGTGTGGTTATATAGAATGTAATTTGCATGCGCGTAACATGCACATATGTGCATGTATGCATCGATGTTCACATGAACGAATCTGAAGGTGAGTCATGCGCAAGTGGGTTCTGTCAGTCTGCCTTTACATATGTATGCATGATGTATGCAAATGTACACACACATACATTAATATATACATACAGTTTTCTATGCATATACACATTGCATCAGAGTTTAGGCCTTGTTTGGGGCACGTTGTGTGTTTAGGAGGCTGGCGTCGGGCGCCTGTGGGCTTGAGTTCTCGTCTCCCAGGGTCAGTTCTAGGATGGAGAGTCACGCAGTGCTCCTGGCACGTGAAGACTTCCTCTCCGAGGTTTTTCCATCCCTCCTAGAATAATTACCAACTTTATTTACTGGCTCTACAGTGAAGAAACCCCAAAGCCCTATAGTCTTATCACTCCGGCCCCTACATGAACGCAAGCGTAAAGTGTAGAGGCGCTGAAGCGCCTTCGGGACTGCGGCGTCCCTTCGGAGCCGTCACCATCCGCCGGAAGTGGCGCATCGCCGGCGAGGCCCTTGAGGGTTTAGGTCTGTAGGGTTTAGGGTTTAGGGCCCTTGGCCTTTCAAGTCTCTGTTGAAGCAACCCTTGCTTGTTGAAAGCGGGGCTTTGCAGAATATCCAGCGAAAAGCTGTCCTTTAGAGGGGCCTCGCACGTTTATAATTGATACAGGGTTTTGGTGTGTATACTAAAACACAGAGAGAATTATGCGCACTGCCAGGTGCTGTTCCTACTAAGTGTTCCGACCTCTACGGCAGGGTCTCTGGTCTGTGGATCTAGGATTGGAGGGCTTAGTTTGGTTGGACTTCTCAGGAGTCTCCGTTCGGGGCTTACAGAGCAAGAGGGTTTGGAGCAGATGAGGTGAATGTCTGCAGGAACCCTAAACTTTCAAACCCAAAACCGAGTCTGCAGGTTGGGATTATGGGAGATCAAGGCTTTCAGGTTCCATGTCGGAGTTCGAAACATGAGAAGATCCCTACGTTACATGTGAAAGTAGAAAATTTACCAAAACCTTAATTCCGAAGCTGCAGCCTGCAAAAGGCTTGAAGCCGCATGCTCTCCTTGGGAGCGCAACCTGACCGCTTTTCCTAAAACCGCCACCTGACCAAATGAAGCCGTGCCTGCGAGAGCGAGTGTGTGAGTCGAAACTCTCAAGCAGCGAAGCCCCAAGCCCTAAGCGCTGAAACCTTCGTTCAGGGCAGGTCGGGGCTCTAGGTTTAGAGCTTAGGTAGCAGCTCTGCCGACGGGGCCTGGGGAAGCACCCTAAACCCAACCGTAACGCTCAACGCCTAGTGGGCCCAGGTCCGTCGTCAAAATGCCAAAAGCCCGGAAGCCAGAAACACGACCGTAGCAACACTGGGTTCTTGTATACTTGATAAGGAAACCATATGATGTACTATAGGTCCCTATTATGGTAACTTGAATTAAGTTCCTTAAGAAGAGCCCAGAACAGGGTTCCACTCGAAACCCGAACCCAAGCCCTCGGCCGGTGCCAGGTAGAAGCGGCGGAAGTAGGGGCTCTCGCATAAATGCGAAGAGGTCAAAGGAGACAGAGGTGGGCGGGCGATCATCGGCCTTCTTGGGCAATATTATCACATATACATGTTCACACATATGTGTATATATATATATATATACGCACATGCGGTTCTACAGAATTTCATTTGGTTTCTTGAAGTCTTTCAGGCTTTTTTGCAACATGTAGGGCAGCGGGGTGGGGGTGTGGTTGCGGGTATGTTTCTTCGCTTGCCGGGGTTGGGAGTTTAGGCTTGGAGCCTCAAAACTTGTACCGCTCAGAAATAGGGGCACAAGGAGTGATCGACTGTAGCCCACGCATCTCGCGCCCAAGATTCGCCGTGTGAGCCCCGGTGGGAGCCCTCAGTTCCTCGAGCTGACAATTCGCGATGTATCGGATCAGTGATCGACTTCCTGCTCCGAGCTGGTAGCGCTAGCAGTGCCCTAAGCCCTTCACTTCCGAATTTCCCTAAACCGTTTCAAACCCCAAACTGGCCTGTGTCATAAGCCAAGCCTTTCATAGGTGCTTCCTCGTCAAAGCCCGAGCTTCCCGAGCCCCGTTTCGGGATATCAGAGCCAAGTCGCAGGCCTCATGAACCTCTGCGTGGGTTCAGGCTTTGTTTGGGTTTAGGGCTCTCGGGGCCGAATCTGAAATATCCGGGTTTAATGCTTCTTGGGCCGAAGCATCCCTCCTGAACCCTCATTTCTCTTGGGCTTTTCGTGTAGGACTGTAGTAGCAGCGAAGCACTAGTAGCAGCAACTCGAATCAACTGCAGCACCGACCCTGGGCAACAGTTGCTGGACCGCCAGGTCTTCTCTATGCCATGCGTGGCTCCCCGAGGTGAGCGGGCTACGGTTTTCGCTGCTTAGGGATTTAGGCCGAGAGAGCAGATGCGAGGAAGCTGCGCACACCAGCGAGGAAGCATCCAGACGGTCAGCACTGCCATCGTTTACAGCTTTCTTCAATGTCCGGTTTGATTTCCTTTCGACCTAAGGGGTCTCCACTGATCAGGAGAGTCAAGAGGCTCTTTTGCGGCTTTTGGAGCCGGCGGTGGCAGTGTTCATCTGGATGTGATGGGTTGGCACAGCATGGCTTCCTCCGCTGAGCTGTGCAAAAGAACGGCCTCAGATGCGAATGGGGTTAGGTGGTGACATTTTGTCATGTTGTCTGACGGCTGAGAGGGCGGCCTAGGAAGTCCAGGTGCGCATGATCGAGAGAAGCTCGGTGCCTGTGCCTGATCATACGTAGGGTTTGGGATAAGAAGTACACCGCATCATACTGGAACCCAGCTGCTGAGTTTTGTCGATTCCCGCGGAGTCGTCGTATCCAAGCCGAATGTATGTTTCAGTGGAATCCAAGTGACCGCGGCTCTTTAGCTGTTCAGCTGTGTAGGCGGTGGGCTCAAGCGGGCCTTGAGCTGAAAAACCCATGGGGAACTGTGCCTCCAGTGACCAGAGCCATGTGAGTCATGAGCGTGCCTTTCCCATGTGGGTGGTGAAGGTATCGGACGCGATGGCCATGAGCGGAGTGCCACAGCCCCACGAAGTTCTTCAAGCTTCTGGACTGCTCGTGAAGCACCGGCCAGGCATGTTCTGCATCTTCGTGTCCCACCAGTGGCTGGGAAGATGTTCGAGAAGAGGAAACAACGTACCCGAGAAAACGACATTGGTGATCCTGACCGGAGGGATTTCACTTTGATCAAGGTGCAGTTGAGTAGGATCAGGCCTAACAAGGTAAGAACTGCGAAGAACAGGCACCTGCACGCCCTTCAACGCGCAGCAAGTTGGGAATTTCGGGAAAGACTACTGTGCAGTGCGAGTTTAGTCTAGGATCGCTAGGCAGCATGAAGACTAAGGTGGCTGAGCCGGCATCATCCAGACCCTACCGGAGCTCAGCTGAAGGTCCTGCGGCAGGTATTGCTTGGCATCACCAGCGGCTCGGTGAGCCCATGGTAACCATTGAATCTTTTTTAGGAAATTCCGGACTCTGTTTCCGCAGATGGACCTCGAATTTCGAGCTTGCTGTTCAGCCCAAGTGCAGATAGACTGTAATTAACTAGACTTAGGCTTAAACTTCGTCGGGTTAGCATAGTCGAGGGCCGCAGTTGCTGGCAGATGCTACATATACACCCATGCCTGCGCAATGTAAACACTGTACCAGTGCCACGTAGGCATGCGCACTGCTGTCGCGCGACTTTGCGATTACGCAATATCAGCTGACTCGCGCGTGCAAACTCAGCATGCCATCGAGGATCGTGTCGAGGGTCTTCCCGCAAACAAGCTGTTAAAAGCAGATGCTGACAGGGATTCGGAGTCTAACCGTGAAGAGAGTTCCCGAGATTTGCAAAGTTCTGCACAGGAGTTTTGAGGCTAGTCTGGAAGTTCTTCCGATCTGTTGTAAGCATGTTCCTAGCTCGGGTGAGGCGGTTCCATGGCCTTGCAGTCTGACATCGTCACGCAATTCTACAAGGGAAATCGCAAGATGCTCCGGGCGGAACGCGATCAGATCCTGCAACTTCGTTGGTTTATATAACTTTCAGCGGGTAAGCACTGTTTGTTCATGTTGCTGTGGAGTTCTGCAAACAGGTGGTGTGATTTTTTTGTAGAGCCTGCATTTGTGCAAGTATTCTTCGGCTAATTCAGGAACGTAGAGAGATAGTGCGAAGCAATGCAGTGGAAGTTTCTTGAGGCAAGGGTACCTATGGCTGGATTGGTTCTCGGTGCCTCAAGACCCGGACTCAGCATCAGAAAGGCGCCAGGCAGTGCAGTCGATCCCATCTTATGTGGACGTTTGCGGTGCCTTTGTTGCCTTGGTTCCATGCCTGCACCACCATGATTCCGGCTCACTCTGCGATTTCGAGACGTGGTTGCACCGTGGTTGGTGTAGGTGCGAACTGTGGTGTTCGCAGCTCTCCAACCACAGCCGACTGCCCATGATCACAGTCAATGGTCCCAATGATGCGGAGTTTGCCATGCCGAAAGACTGGGTTTTTGCACCAGCGGACGAGGGTGAGTTCACGGTCGAGGAGGACCGGCTTGCCATCAAGGACGTTGTTCAGGTTTCTCTGCAAGCACGAGTGTCATTCCTCGACAAGCATGGAGAAGAGCCTGGATTGTGCAGATTTCTCAAAGGACTACGTGCGAAGAAATTCGGACAAGCCAGCTCATGGCCTTTAGACTATTTCCTGTCGTATTTTGGCTTTCCAAACTTGCAGACGGCAGTGAAGATCAAAGACATGGGCGCGTTACACTGCGCAGCTATCCTGGATGAACCTTCTCTTATGCGCCCGCTGGTAGAGGCAAAAGCTTCCGTGGGAGCGAAGTGCAAGAGCATACTCACCATGGACATCTTGAGATTTGCCCCTCTGATTCTGGCAATTCAGTTGAACAGCCTGGCAGCTGCCAAGGGGCTTCTCATGCTTCGAGCTGATCCGAATTCCACCTGCCCAGAGGGTCTTCCTCCCCTTGGGCTTTGCAGGAGTGCCGAAGCGGTAGATTTCCTGCTGCAGCACAGAGCGGATGCTAATCAGCGCGTGGCTCCGCACATGATTCTGGGTTCTTGTTAAAGGATTTTTTTGAGTCACCATAGTAAGGAATTCATGTTGTTTATTTCTAGATCGCTATGATTGTAACTTAGATTCAACTCCTTAAACAAGAACCCAGGATTAGCCCAGTGGCGTATGTTTGTTCCAGGACTTCGCCAGTCGAGGCTGCCTGCTTTTCTTTGCTTCACTCAGTAGTAGAATTTGATGCTCAGGTGAAGACCCTGCTTTTTCTAGGAGGATTTTGTTGCAATCTGAAGGTTGTGGCTCGACTTCTGGAAAGACGGGCGAACGTGAACGACTCTCACGGCGGTCACTCCAAGTCGCCCTTGACATGCACGACACTTTTTTCTAAGGCCACTCCCCGGGTGAGCCTCGCTCATGCTAAGTTGCTGCTCGATGCGAGGGCGGATGTGAACCAGCCGGGCTGCACGACGGGCCTATTCCAGATGCTGGAGCTGGGCTCGAGGTTGGCAAACTGCTGTGGGATGGATGGGCCCCTGCTCCGATACCTGGCCGAGTCCAGCTCAACTCCCTTAGGCTTCGCAGCTCTGCTGAACAATCGTCCTTTGGCGTCTCTGCTGCTGGCAGCCAGGGCTGACCCGGACATCCCCAACAGCCGTGGCCACAGCCCCAGGCAAATGGCCAGCGTGGAGATCCGACAGCTCTTTGACGAGCCCCTTGCTCTCAAGGAGGACCCAGAAGACCCAGTGGTGGTGGAATCTTTGTGATGCCAGCCCTTTAAACAAAGATTAAGCTTTTGGCAACGAGCTGAATCAAGGCGTTTAGCCAATGGCTTTCAGTCGAAATATTGTTCAGTCAATGTTCATCCCAGATTTGCAACTTCGTTTGGCAGATGCTCGAACAGTTTTTAAATCTGAGTTTTAGTTTCGGAAGCTGCCAGTCAGAATCTGTTCCGGATCTCTCGTCCTTTTGTTTGGAGCTTTGCAGGAGGTTCTACGTCCAAGGCGTTTTCAAAAAGCCGAGCTTCGCATGCCGATTGAGCATCGCAGAAAAGTAGAGCCAGCAGATGCCAGAAGCACGCAGGGCGCCACAAGGGAGGGGGGTCTCGTGGGCTCTCGCGTAGCATCGCACCGATGATGGGGGACACTGTTTCATACTCAGTCCCGGACGATCAGCCTGAATGCCAAGTCGAGCTGAAATCAGGGAGACGATCAGCCTTCGATTCCCATGGAGTTTTCTCAGCCAGATTCTAACAAAACCAATCCCAAGACTTTGAAGGTCGTGGAGCCCATGCAGGCGACCGCGGCTCTTCAGCTGTTCAGCTGTGTAGGCGGTGGGCTCAAGCGGGCCTTGAGCTGAAAAACCCATGGGGAACTGTGCCTCCAGTGACCAGAGCCATGTGAGTCATGAGCGTGCCTTTCCTATGTGGGTGGTGAAGGTATCGGACGTGATGGCCACGAGCGGAGTGCCACAGCCCCACGAAGTTCTTCAAGCTTCTGGACTGCTCATGAAGCACCGGCCAGGCATGTTCTGCATCTTCGTGTCCCACCAGTGGCTGGGAAGATGTTCGAGAAGAGGAAACAACGTACCCGAGAAAACGACATTGGTGATCCTGACCGGAGGGATTTCACTTTGATCAAGGTGCAGTTGAGTAGGATCAGGCCTAACAAGGTTAGAACTGCGAAGAACAGGCACTTGCACACCCTTCAACGCGCAGCAAGTTGGGAATTTGGGAGAGACTACTGTGCAGTGCGAGTTTAGTCTAGGATCGCTGGGCAGCATGAAGACTAAGGTGGCTGAGCCGGCATCATCCAGACCCTGCCGGAGCCCAGCTGAAGGTTTTGCAGCAGGTACTGCTTGGCATCACCAGCGGCTGGGTGAGCCAATGGTAAGCTTTGAATCTTGTTTGGAAATTCCGGACTATGTTTCAGCAGATGGACTTCGAATTTGGAGCTTGGTGTTCAGCTCAAGTGAAGATAGACGGTTCAGTAACATTAGAAAAAACTAAACATTATCAGGCCAGCAAAGTCAAGAGCTGCAGTTGCTGGTAGATCTTGGCACATGCTAGATGTACTCCCATGCCGGCACAATGTAGCAACAGTACCGTGTAGGCAGGCGTTCCGCATGCCGTCCAGCAGCATGTCGAGGGTCTTCCCGCAAACAATCTGTCAAAAGCAGATGCTGGCAGGGATTAACCCCGAAATTGTTGACGAAACTTGTGAAGGTCTGCACGGGAGTCATGCGGCTTTTTCTGCATATTCTGCCGATCTGTAGCACAGACCCCCGCCCCGAAGCCCAAACTTGCGCGTCCAGTTCGGATGAGGCGGTTCCATGTCCTTGCACTCTGACCTCGTCACGCAATTTTTCAAGGGAATGCTCCGTTCGGAGCGCGAGCAGATCCTGCAACTTGGAGCCAACATTACGATCTATAAAATGTAGCAAAGCCTTGTTTTGCTTCCTTGCCTTGTAACTCTGCAAGCAGAGGGTTTAAAGATATGCAATTTGTTTGCGGAGTTGGCATTTGTGAAAGCCTCGTCGGCTAGTGGACAACAAGTCTGGTGTAGTCTTAGCAACTTGAGGCAAGGATACCTATGGCTGGATTGGTTCTCGGTGCCGCAAGACCCTGGTTCAGCATCATAGCGGTGCCAGGCAGTGCAGTCGATCCCATCTTATGTGGACGTTTGCGGTGCCTTTGTTGCCTTGGTTCCATCCCTGCACCACCATGATTCAGGGTCACTCTGCGATTTTGAGACGTGGTTGGACCGCGGTTGGTGCAGGTGCGAACTGTGGTGTTCGCAGCTCTCCAACCACCGCCGACTGCCCATGATCGCAGTCTATGGTCCCAATCATGCAGAGTTCGTGATGCCAAAAGACTGGGTGTTTGCACCAGCGGACGAGGGTGAGTTTACCCTGGAGGAGGACCGGCTTGCTATTATGGACATTGTACATTTGGCCCTTCAAGCACGAGTGTCATTCCTTGACAAGCATGGAGAAGAGCCTGGATTGTGCAGATTTCTCAAAGGACTACGTGCGAAGAAATTCGGACAAGCCAGTTCGTGGTCTTTAGACTACTTTCTGTCGTATTTTGGTTTTCCAAACTTGCAGACAGCAGTGAAGATCAAAGACATGGGCGGGTTACACTGCGCCGCTATCCTGGGTGAACCTTCCCTCATGCGCCCACTGGTAGAGGCAAAAGCTTCCGTGGGAGCAAAGTGCAAGAGCATTCTCAGTATGGACATCTTGAATTTTGTGCCTCTGATTCTGGCAATTCAGTTGAACAGTCTTGCAGCTGCCAAGGGGCTTCTCATGCTTCGCGCTGATCCGAATTGCACCTTTGCACCATGCAATCCTGTCCTTGGGCTAGCTAGGGATGCCGAAGCAGTGGATTTCTTGCTGGAGCACAGAGCAGATGTTAACCTTCGCATGTCATACCCCAAGATCAGCCCCCTCTCATTGGCTTGTTCAAAAAGTGGACCCGTGGAAGCTGCCTGGTCTGAGAGGGTTTAAGTTTGCTTTCACCTGCTACTTTCGGTGGAGATCCTTCAATTTCCCAGGCCGTAGGCAGTTTAGGACGGTTTGAGCAAACAGAAGGTTGTTGCCCGACTGCTGGAAAGACGGGCGAACGTTAACGACTCCCGCGGCGGTCACTCCAAGTCGCCTTTGACATGCACGACACTTTTTTCTAAGGCCACTCCCCGGGTGAGCCTCGCTCATGCTAAGCTGCTGCTCGATGCGAGGGCGGATGTGAACCAGCCGGGCTGCACGACGGGCCTATTCCAGATGCTGGAGCTGGGCTCGAGGTTGGCAAACTGCTGTGGGATGGATGGTCCCCTGCTTCGCAGCTCTGCTGAACAATCGTCCTTTGGCGTCTCTGCTGCTGGCTGCCAGGGCTGACCCGGACATCCCCAACAGCCGTGGCCACAGCCCCAGGCAGATGGCCGGCGTGGAGATCCGACTACTGATCGATGATCCCCTTGCTCTCAAGGAGGACCCAGAAGACCCAGTGGTGGTGGAATCTTTGTGATGCCTTGACGTGAGCAGCTGCTGTCAAAAACCAGTTCTGCGATTGTAAAGCTATTCGTGCATGGTAGAGTTGTTGAGCAAGTGAGCAAGACTTCCTTTTTCCACTCGGTGTATAAATGACCCGAGCGTTTCGTCTGCACCAAGCCTGGGCAGCGGGATTTAGTGTTTCGTTTGCTTCAAGCTTGGGCAGTGGGACTTATCCCAGATCTGCCAATATATCATATGTCTTTTCTCGGAATCTTTTCGGCACCGGTTGATCGGTGCATATGTACATTGTATGTTGTTCCCCATGGCATGTTAATGTCAGACAGAAGCTCTCAGACGGAATCTGCGCCGGATCGTATGGGGTCTGTAGTCCGGTTGAACGAAATCTTTTTCTACGCTAAAGGCATCAAAAGAGCGGAGCTTCAGACGCCAGTTCGAGCATCGTCAGTCAGCAGAGCATTGAGATGGCTGGCCTTCTGGCGGCACGAAACCCCAAACCCTAAATTGCCTGAGTGTGAGCGCCGAGACAGCTTGGTTTTGGGACTTGTTCCATGGGCTCCTTCTGTCAGCTACGCTTGTTTGAGGACAGGGCCAAGCGCAAACCATACGGTAAACCCGAGCCCTTGAACCCCCTGCAGCCCAAGCCTACCGGCCATTTGGCTCGGAAAGTCCTGCAAAGTCGGGGCGCCGTAGGCATCGTAGGAAGTTTCACACTTGGGCACTACCAAGCTCAGACAATGAGCTCCTGAACTTGTCTAATCTGGGAGTTTCCGAAAATAGGGGACCCGGATATCGTAAGAGAAATAGTAGGATCCTTATAAAAGGACCGGCCCCAAATACGCTACCCTAATTTACGAAAACTCCCACATGGGGCCTTCACAACAAGCAGTACTGGGAAGCCTTCCATACACGCCAGTCCCCACTTGGCTTCAGTAGACGCAGCCCTCGGCTGAACCTGACAACATCAACCCCACATCCGTAAATCCTTATAAAACCCTAGGAAGCCTCAGACAACTCTTCAAAACACTCAATCCCGGAAGCCCACACAGCCCCAGAAGCCATCCGAAGCTAACCCAGAGAAGCCACGAGCCCCCTCAAGACCTTCGAGCCTTCAGTCTTAAGCTCCGACCCCAAACACAAAAAAAACCTAAAGCCTAAAGACTTAGCTCCAAGTCCTCGAGCCTTCATCCGCCTTCTCACCGATGCTGGGGCCGAAGACCGGCCCGATGAAGAAGCTGAGTGCCGAGGTTCGGGACGAACTGGGCAGGCTTCGAGGCTTTAAGGCTTAGGGTTTCTGTTGGGGATAGAGACTGCAGCTTTTGGGGTTCGTCGTTCGTCGTCTCTGTAATCCTGGACACACGACTTATTGAGGTGTGGAGGGTAGCGAGCAGTGTGTTGGTTGAACTTACCCTTCTTTCTGCTTGAATTGATCAGGGATTCGTTCTTGCATACAACCCATTCCTTGCAAGGCAGACTTTCTGCGTAGTTACTAGTTACCCTAGCTTCTTCTGAACTGGGCCGCCTGTTTAGCCAGGTCTTCGCTCTGTGGTGGTTACATTTGGGGTTTGCCTTGGATCTTTGGGGCACTGCTGGGTTACTTGGTCACAACAGTTTGCCGATCTGCAGTTGCGAGTACAACGTAGCAGTGTAAAAAACAAACACACCAACAATTCCAATTCAATTCGATGGAATGAACACGATATCCGACCCGTCCCGACCCTCCCACAAAAGAAAAATGGTTAACCTACGAGAACTGGACCCCAGGCCCGAGACCCTGAACCCTGCTCGAGTACAAGATCCAGGAGGTTGCGAAGACGAGCCCGGAGACAGACTTCACAGATCCACTAGGCTCCCTGCGCCTGGGCCATTCTCTCACAATCGGATGTCGGAGTATAGTGCAAATAGTAAAACCCGCAGGAACATGCGTAGTGCTTTAGGCACCTGTGTTCCTGGTTGTGCGCTGTTTGGTTCAAGGCTTTGCAATGCAAGGGTTCTGGGGTTTAGTGGAGACCCCAAGCCCTGGATCTAAAGATCGGGGTTTAGGGTCCGGCACTGGCGGGTACAAGCTCCTGGTTCAAGAGGGTTCAAGAAGATAAATTTAATAAATTCGAACGTCCTTACAGGGTTTAGGGCTCAGGGGGAGGAGTGCAGCGGCTCTGACATCCGACATTCAGGCCGGCATATACAAGTGTGTGCAAAAAGGGTGAGGGTTATTCTAGGCAAAGTCACTGTTCTAAATTGCCTGGCAAGCCGTGACCTCAGTTGGAGCACTGGGGTATGAATCTATGTGCTGTGGAAGGGCCCAAATCGCTCCACAGCGGAGAATATTGCAGGCCCCAGCACCCCACCTGTGGGTGCGATCGCAAGCTCGTCTCGACGCCATCCCCTTCGTGGCACCGACGGCTGAGAAAAGTCAGGTCAAGGACCAGGGCTTCACTCCGTTTGGGGCTTCCGATCTCCTCTGCGAGTGCGTGCCGGCTGCTCAGGCACCACGGTACCTGCCCAACTCTGGCCAGACAGATCCTTGGGCGCATGGGCAAGAAGCCTCACTACGAAGCGCCATGGAAGCGCCACAACAAGGACTACCAAGGTTATGGCCACCACGAGCATCATGGACAAGGTTATTCATTGTGGCCTGGCTCATGGCGATCAACAGGCTCGCCGCAGGACCCCAAGCAGAAAGTGCGGGTTTTCCCCTCGTACGACCAGAAATGGGGAGAGGAGCCTCACTTGCGAGTGGTCCGCGAGGACCGCAAAGAGGAGCCCGAGAAGCCGGACACCATTACGGCCAAAGGGGCTCAGCAAGCAGTCAATGTACTGCGCAAAGCAGAATCTCGCGTGGCGAAGATCCTGAAGGAGCAGCGAGAGAAGGCTGCCCGTTTCGCCGACTACGAACAGAAGCTAATGACTGCGTTCATGGAAGAGCGGAAACGTCATGGCGATCGACAAACCCAGCTTGCGTCGGAGCTAGAGGATGCACAGAGGTTGCTGTTGGAGGCCAGGGAAAACATGATGCAGACTGCACATGGCCTCATGGGCAAGGCCCCGGCCCGTATGGACACACAGGACACAACGGCAGAGGACTGGGCAGAGATGATTCGGAGATATTCCGATGTTCCCGAACAGCCGCAAGTGGACCCCGACATGGCAGAGATTTTGAGGCTCTACAGAAGCGGGCGACTCATTCCTGCTCAGGCACCCACCGTGCCTGCCAATGGTCAAACCCTTTCGAAGGAGGGACTACCTGGCCCGTCGGAAATGCACAAGGACCTTCCTGGCGACCATCCGCCACCGACGGGAACTGGTCTTACTGGCCCTCAAGGTCCTGTACCGGTGCCCCCCACCTATGGTGCGGCCTCGCCAACCAGTGGGTTGCACAGATCGGAACCATACCCGGCTACCTCTCCGATCTCTACCAAGCCGATGGAGACTGGTTTTTCCACAGAACAGCCAACGCCATCCCCCAATCTTGGGGACCAAAGGCCAGCAAGGACAGTGCCGAGGGAGGACGTCAAGGCTGCTACCAAACATCAGCCTCCCAAAACTCATCCACCTGGGCTATCCTTGCACCAGAAGTTGGAGAATCGACGAGAATCGGAAAGGCAAAGCATTGCCCTACAGCCTTTTCGGCGCCCACAGGAAGCGACCGATGCCCCCCACGCCGACACCGAGGAAGTCGACCTCACCGCCGACCAGAGAAACAAGGCTGGCACTACAGGCGACGAAGATTCCACACGTATGGCGGTGCATTCTCCTGGGCTCACCCGGCTGGAATGATGAGTCGCTGTAGATATGACTCCAGAGAATCCCGGCCACTGATTCATCGGCACTGTGCACTAAGCTGGCCAGCGACACCCGAGGCTTCAATGGGGAAACCTCTCGTGTCCTCGTCCCGGCCTGGTGAACACCTTGCCCTTGAAGCGGTGGCAGGGATACATCTGCGAGTCATATGGTCTCACATCTTGGTTGATGCCTGTACAGGAAGCCCTGCTGAGTGCCGCCATTTTCAGGTTGTACATAGGACTTTTCCCGATCAGGCACCATCCACAGGAGCCCTCGCCTCGCGCCAAGGTTACTGCAGCCCGCCCAATCCCGGGCCCATCTCTGGCCTTACTGGCAATCACTCTCTGGCACAGCCGACTCCACTCTTACTGGGTTTGTATGAATGGGCCGGTTGTCGCCAGCCGTCTTCCTCGCGAGGGTGCCGTCCACATTTGACTTTTGTGGGCTTCATCCCTCCCCCGCCTTTCCCTGCATTCTCCTATGCAGCCTGTGGCCTCCAAGCTGGTTTCTGGATAGTTCGCCGTGTGCCGAAGAAATGCATCGGTGGCTCTGGGGCATTCACCTGCGACTTCCAGTATCCAGTCGGACCCTCATCTGCTGTCACTCTTGCTTCGGCACGAGGATACACGCGATGCCAGTCAGCCGTCGTAACGACCAGCACACAACCCTCAGCAGTTTTGGGTCTGCCTTTCCCTCTGTCCCGCCCCCGGTGTCGGGAGGCCCCCCTTTTGCCTGTGCTCGTGTACGGACTCCCTCCCAGCCAGGTTGAGTCCTCTTATCTTCCTTGCGTTCTGCCCTGCCGTGTGCCAAAGAGACGTATCGGTGGCTCAGGGACGTCCACCGGCGGGCAGGCGCTCTGGGAATCAATTTGCCAATGGTTGGCATGCCTTCTTTGTGCTTTCAGCACGCATCTTGCGCTGCTTGTTCTGTGTGCATTGGTGCGCCTGCTGGTCTGGCCATTCCGTGCCCAGAACACTCCTCTCGGACGGTGCCTGCTACTACCCTCCAGGGGTCTGCCAAAGGAGTTACTTCTCCCGGTTGCGGTTTTGTCCGTTTCTCAAGATGTTCACCGACACCGCGCGCATGGACGTGCCCCAGGGTCG